CAATTTTAAGTATTTAGAACTCTAAGGGCTGGTAGTTATATTTAAACTTTATTAAAAACGTTTCGGGACTAGATTGTGGACTTTTCGGGATTGCCAAAAACCTAATTGAAGTTAGCCAAAAAATACATTCTTGTGATTATGCTTTTATAATATAAAACATGCTTAAATTAACAGTTCTTGGCTAAATATTAAAAAAAATGTACTTATCATATCTTTGGCGCATAAATTTAAAATACAATTTTGAATTAGCATATGACTTTTTCAACGTTGTAAATTTCTTTACATGAAAAAAGTGGAAAGATTTAGGCACGGTTTAAAGAGAATATAAGCTCTACATATAATCTATATAAGTTGAATATTTTTTTTTAGAGTAAAACTGAAAGTTAAGGAGGCGTTTGCAAAAAAATTTAATAAAAATTATTTAAGTATATTTGGTTTAGCTTTTTCATTTGAATTGTTTTTTTGTTATTAACTCTTCATTTCTGTTATTTTGTACTTTTTGTGTTGTTTGCTTTCCTTCGCGTGGCAATTTTTATTAATTATATGAATTAAATTCCATTTTCGAAAACATCTTCTTGATAATTTAATACTTCAATGAAGTAGATTTTCTGCCTATTTGGAGGAGCATCCGAAATCATTAAACAGTAAAAATAGAAAAAAACATATGAAATTGTAGCGTAACTCCATTTGATTACCGTAAGCATGTAATGATGCATAGAATCAAGTAATCTAAGTGGAATATTAAAATAAATTCATTGCTTAATGGCAAGTATGAAATGTAAATTAAATATTTATGCTGTAAAAACACGAAGAGAAGCAATTCATATGCCTACCGGAATCACACAAAGTATACAAAAATCTAAGGTATATAATATATGTACCTATATAAATAAGAGTAGGGAAATATACACCCAAAAATATGTTTTTAACATATACAGCGCTGACTTGACACCTTAAATGTTAATGTAAAAATTATGTTGTCTGAGCTTCAACATAACCAAATTTTATGTTTTTTTAGAAAAATGCCACACCTTATCTGGTACAATCTCTACTAAATAAGTCGAATGAATTTTGAAATTTTTAATTTAACGAGTTTATCACAGTCTTGATCATTTAAGAGTACATTTTTTTTTTTTTTGACAAATATATGTTAGAAAGACTAAGCATGTATCATAAATATTTTTAGACTAGAAGTACGTATATAAATATTTCTGTTTTTATGGAATTGTGCCAAATATATTCACATGTGTATAATTGCCTACATGTTTATATATATATGTATATTTATACAAATGAATACATATGTACACACACAAGCATGAGTGCCTGTGTATTTACGTGTTCAAGTTATTTGCATTGACGTCAACTTATGTCAAGTCTGCCATGACTCGTTTAGTTGGTATTATGAAATTGAAACCTAAAACCAGTTCAGTTACTAATGTTATTTCAGTTTCTGTTTTTGTTTCAAATTAAAGTACATATTTGTTTAATGTTAGTAAAACATAAAAACGAAACAAATACAAATATGAAATAGAAATTAGTTGTTGTTGGCACAAAAGCATGGAAATGAGTTATGTAAGCAGTATATAAATAAACATGTATATATACATATATATGCAAGTGAATTAAAGACATTATAACAAAACCAACAACAGCAACAACAACAAACAAACTAGCTTGTTACATATAAATTAGTTGTAGTTTTTTTAATATAAACATTATGTATGATAGTTACATATATACTATTATACTATCTATGGTATATGCATACAGTTATATATGAGGTATCAAGTTACAGTTTTTTATACATATATAGTAGAAAAGTAAACAAAAAACGTGTATTATCCACTTTCCTTAGGCACACATATCACTTCACACATATTTATATAATACACATCATATTACCTTATAATGAGCTCGAATGCTCAGCACTCATAGATTGGCGTTCAAACTTCTTGTACTGAAGTAAGGAATTGTTTTCTATGAACTTGTAATTGTAAATTTGTATCAATATTACTAACCACTAGTAATACATTTTAATTTAATTTTATATACTTGTGATGCACTATATTTTCTAAATTACCCAGCAACAATTTTTCATATTTAGAAATCATAGCCAATTCACAAAAAGCTTTTAGCTGCGTGTTTTTTTATGATTTGTGTGTTGTTTTTATACCCTGAACGGGGTATATTAAGTTTGCTACGAATTTTAAATTTTGGAAAAAAATTCGGTGATTCTCTAAAGTATATATATGTATAAAGAATCAGCGTGACGAGCTGTCCGTCTGTCTGGATGTCTGTTTGTATATATGCGAATTTATCAATCAGTTTTTGAGATATCGAATTGAAATTTTACACACGTCCAAATCGGAATACTATAGCATATAGCTGCCTCACAAACTGATCGATCAAAATTAAGTACTTGTATGAAAAACTTTTATATTTGATAATATATCTTCACGAAATTTGGCATATATTATTGTCCAAGATATTGTTCAGATCAAACCACTATAGTATATAGCTGCCATGCAAACTGTCGGATCATGATCAAATACAAAGATCTTTTTATACTCTCGCAACCTGTTGCTACAGAGTATAATAGTTTTGTTCACCTAACGGTTGTTTGTATCACCTAAAACTAATCGAGTTAGATATAGGGTTATATATATATAAATGATCAGGATGAAGAGACGAGTTGAAATCCGGGTGACTGTCTGTCCGTCCGTCCGTCTGTCCGTCCGTCCGTGCAAGCTCTAACTTGAGTAAAAATTGAGATATCTTTATGAAACTTGGTAGACATGTTTCTTGGTACCGTGAGACGGTTGGTATTGCAGATGGGCGTAATCGGACCACTGCCACGCCCACAAAACGCCATTAATCAAAAACAAATAACTTGCCATAACTAAGCTCCGCAATAAGATACAAGACTGTTATTTGGTACACAGGATCACATTAGGGAGGGGCATCTGCAGTTAAAACTTTTTTTTAAAAAGTGGGCGTGGTCCCGCCTCTAATAGGTTTAATGTGCATATCTCCTAAACCGCTAATGCTATAATAACAAAATTCACTGGAAGCAAATGTTTTTAGCACTTCTATTGACAGTGTGAAAATAGTTGAAATCGGGTGGCAACTCCGCCCACTCCCCATATAACGGTACTGTTAAAACTACTAAAAGCGCGATAAATCAAGCACTAAACACGCCAGAGACATTAAATTTTATCTCTGAGATGGTATAAGATGACTTTATAGGAACCGCGTTCAAAATTAGACAGTGGGCGTGGCACAGCCCACTTTTAGGTGAAAACCCATATCTTGAGATCTGCTTAACCGATTTCAACCAAATTCGGTGCGTAACGTTCTTTTCATGTTTCTATGTCATAGTGCGAAAATGGGCGAAATCGGATTACAACCACGCCTATTTTCCATATGACACCATTTTAAATACCACTTGATTCTTTCACTTTCCACTATGCAAATCAAGCAACAATGATTATATCGGCGTAAAACTTTGCGTGAATAATACGTTTAAAGTATGCCACCTTGTGACCAAAAATTGTCTAAATCGAACCAAAACTGTTCAAGCCCCTAAGTACTAAATATGTGGACCACAGTGCCTATAGTTGACCTTCTACCGAAAATATCAGCCAATCCACAAAGAAATCTCAAACGAGTATACCATTTGACTTTGCGAGAGTATAAAATGTTCGGTTACATCCGAACTTAGCCCTTCCTTACTTGTTCAAAATATGATTTTGTATATGTGCCTATTTTAAACAGACATGCAGATGTTTCATTTTGGTGAAAGCAAAGCATGTAGTGTTTTTTTCTTTTCCGCGATCTTGTATTCTGTTTAAGTTAGTGAAATCCGGTCACATTAGCATAATATTCAAGTTTGCTTATGAGTTATTTAATATTGTAATTATCTAAATATATATTGTGACGTTCATTTGTTAAAATTTAAAAATTTCTGGTATATTAAAAGCTTTTGTGATATTTTTGGTAATAAAAGTTTCGCTTGAAAAAATTAAAAATGTCTAGTAAAATATTGATGTTATTGAGCACTTTTGGTTATCCTCAAAAATCACTTTCGAAAGAACATGCAATACTTATCATTTCGCTAAGCGGGCAAAGCTTTAAGTGTTCAAAGTAACAATACATTTTTTTTAAAGATTTACATATTTATTAATGATTTTGATAAAGATAAAGTCAGACTTAAAGATGGTGAAACCGGTAGAGATTTCGACAGCGATAATGATAATGAGAAAGTTAGACGTAGTAAGAGAAGATAGGGATGGAGGTAGTAAGAGAGTTAGGTTCTATCCGTATATGAAAATAGATAAAGTTAAAAATAAAAAAAAGTACAAATTAATTGTTATAATGCCAGGAAAAGGTACAGCTGAAGATAATGTTTCAAATATAGTTAAAGATAGTGATCGGAATCGGGATTGGAATTGAGAAAAATAAGAAATAATGTTAATGAGAACGATACAGTTGGAGATATCGGTAATGATGGAGATAGATAAAAATAAAAATGTAGTTAAAAAAAGTGGGATGAAGATAGAGTGGGCTAAAGATAAAGATAATAATGCCACGAATATGGATTTACCTGCGTATATACATATACCATATATCTAGTTAGTTCTAATAGAAATTTTCATTGGTAATATTTTCGACCGCCAGTAGCACTAGTTATAATTATTCTGAGTATACTTTATTTATAAGATATTTTTCACTGTACTCCAAAGCGCATTTTTGTTTTCCTATTTCATTAAAAAACAAAATATTTTATATTTTAAATATTAATTCTTTTGAACATATTTGCACTTTGAAATATTTTATTTCTTTCTGATAATGCGACACCCATATAAATCATATTTTTTATTTTTTTCTGTACTGTTTTCAATTATATATACTTGTATAAATTAAAAAACTTATACTTATAAATATAGCAACCAAATATTATTCTCGCTACAATTTCTCAAATTATTTGCTTCACTTACCGCATGCCATCGAAACCATCATCGGAACCATTTATGGTGAGCACTGGCGCACGTGCATATGCTTTCGCTACGCGTCGATTGCGTTCGAAAACAATCACTTTGGCCCAAATCTCATCATCGATTTGTGTCCATTTGTCCAAAACTTCTTGTATGTGCTCCTAGAATAGAGTAGAAGTGAGTAGAAATTAGCAAGAGAATAAATTTGCAGCTATACAAGTATTAATATATTAAAGTTATAAGACGCTTAACAAAAGACTTAAGCAACGAACTCGCTGCTGATTAATGAAGATTTTTACAAAACAAAGAAAACTATTTAATATTTTACCACCACAACCACTTGCTGTTTTATCTATTGCTTTCAATCTTATTACAAAATTCGCACTTTCATTTTCCAGTGCTCGCTTTTGTCAACAAAAGTGCAGACAAATTGAAAAAAATGTTAAATTGCAACAGCCGAGTGCAGCTGGTTTGCATAAATGCACGTATACACATGCATAGAAACATACACATACATGAGGTACACACACACATGAAGCACACGCATGCAATGAAATATACATGCATAAGCAAAGCCGCTCCTAATGTTGGCAGATTGTGCTTGCATTGCTTTACCATCAGTATTGCTGTTTTTGTTGTTGCTATTGTTGCAGTGAACGACCTTGCATGCAATTTAACTTTTACTCTTAGCGCAACAACAACTACAGCAACATTTTTCTAATCTAAAATATATCACAGCACCGTAGCAACATGCTCAATCACAGCAGTAAAGTGCCGCAGCCGCCTGCTGTCGTCGCCCATCGTGGCGTTGCAGTGCTTTTCGATACCGAATGCACTCGTTTGCCATTTTAGATATTATATTTTTCATATTTTTTACTTGAATGTTTTTGTGGATTTTCGCTGGTTTTCTCGCTGTTATTGCCAGCTAATAAATGTCTTGGCGCACATTTGCATGGCTGAGCTCGAAAGCGCCTACAGCTGTTCGCAATGTTATTGTTGTTATGGTTATTGCAGTTGTGGTTTCTGAGCACTTTGTACACGTTTCTGTGTCAGAAAATATTTTTCCCCTTTTTTGTTGGAAAATCAAACGGTTTTGGCTTCAATAAGGCATGTTATCAATATACAAGTATTTATAACAGTATATTTATATATTCCAATATTTTGTTTTTGTACTTTCGTTTACTTCATGCTCGGCTGCACTGATTTCATTGCATTTTTCTCTACTTGCCATTATTTGCTGAGCTTAAGGGTCCTTCGAGAAATCTTGAATTGGTTTATGGCACACCGATTGTGTGGCAATTTATCTACTTGCGTTTTAAAGGTGTTTTCACCTTTTGCGGCAAAAAATATTATGCTTCCAACCGAATTCGATTTTTTCTTTTGTTGTTACTGTGATTTTTCTTTATTTGTGCTGTGTAAATATTGGACTTAAGCAACGAACTCGAATACATTTCTTAGCTAAACATACGCTAGGTGGCGCTGTGGAGCAATTATTGCAAATTTTTCGTGATTTTTCATCTGAAAATAATATTTTTACTTAAAAGAGTTTTCTTATATTTTTTTGGTTTAAAAAAAAAATTTGGGATTTTAATAGAAGACACCATTTTTCAGCTTTAGTATCGGAGAAATATGCCTCATAGTGTAATACATCAACAGAAACAACAATCACAATAAGGGACAATAGTTCAGTGGTTTTTGATCAACCATAAACATGTAAAATGAGTCATGCGTCCTTCTTTTATAAGCTCTTAAGTGTTAGGAAAGATTTGTAGTTTTGATTTGTGTTTCAAACTCCATTCAAATTTCGACCTTCTTGAAAAGCTTAGTGAACTAGTGCAATCAATTCCATTGCAAAAAAAGCGGCAAAAAAGTACTGCTCCCACAGATGATTTACCAAAATAAAGAAGAAAAATTTTGAAACACAAAATTTAACCTTATTTCAGATATCTAATAAAAAAAAGTTCAGTAACTTGTGCTGGCAAGGACTGGTTTCACAGCTTCACACACACTTTAGTAACCTCTGCTTGGTTTTTGTTCTGCAATTTTTGCAAGATGCTGAAGAGCGCATATCTAAGCAAGCGATTTCTTGGGTGCAGCAAGTGCTCGTTTTTGACTAGCGCGCCCAGAAAGCGAACTCTATAGGTGCATTTGGTGGCCTAACAGAAAAAAATGTGTGAAATTATAATATAAATCTTGAATCTATGTATATGAAAATGTTACTTTAACAGAAGAATTGCAAAATGCTTATTATGTGTTCTACATTTCCAGTGATAAATGTATTAATATGAAATATTCTTTTTTGTTTCTTTTTTAATAAATTTTTCTTTAATATCCACTGTTAGTAGTGTTAATGTCAATAGTTTTACCGGTATACCAAAAAAAAATTTATTTTACGTTTTTTTTTTCTAGCTCAAATTCTGATTCTAGACATTGAAATACACTGGAATTTTTATTTTTAGTTCTTAACGTTTAAATTTGCCTGATATGAGTGGGCCTGATTTTCACATACTAACATAACAGAAATATGAAAAAAATGTATTGTAAAAGCAATTTTTAATAAAAAAAAATTCCCTTATTTTAGGTGTAGGCGAAACTGATGTTTAACATGTAGAAGTCAGACCCAAAAATCGTGTCGCCCCGTGAAATTGTTATCATTTTAGGAAATTCATTAAAAAAGGAGAAAAAAATAGCTCTCTATCAAATTAAACAAAAAAATGTTTATGGGTCGATCTTTAGTATATAATATTTAAGCCTACTCAAATAACCCTTTCATTTTATGCCTTAATTTTATACTAAATTTATTAGTTAAATTGTTTTTTGGCTTAAAAACAAAAAAATATATATATATTTAAAAGCAACATTTTAATACTCATATTGTTATATTGCACTGTATTAATCACTTTATTTTGTTGAAAGACAGGTGGCAACCCTTCTCACAAATATTATTTATATATAATAGTCCTTTAATTTGCTATCCATATTCTAATAGTTTAATTACTTATCACTTTATTGAAGCACATTATAAACAGGTGGCAACTCTCGTCAAAAAATTTTAAACTCTAAACTTAGTGATAAATGTACAGTCCTCTCAATTTGATCGGTTATTTATACAATAAAAATTTTGATTAAAATTTTTCTAACAGGTGGTAACTATCCTCCAATATTTTTTTAATTTTAAGCGTTCTCAATCTATAACTGTTCAATCCTCTTCAGTTTCAAATGTAATTTATGCAACCCTAATTATAATTAAAAATTTTCAAAGCTTCTCACTTTTGTATTAGCATTTTATAAAAAGACAAAAATGTAAAAAAATAATTTTTAAGAAATTGTTTTTTTATCAAAGCTCAATTTTTTATATTGTTGTTTGATATTTTCTCAACATTACAAAATTCAGTTTCAGCTTTCAAAGGGTGTCAAAATTTAATTTTCTAGCGATAAATAAGTCGAGTTAGAATTTGTTTAATGAGGCACTATATTTCATCTAAGCACGATGAGAAAACAATATATATACATTGGAAATCTAAGCATGTCCCATTTATATATATATATTATATCCAATCAACGAATAAAGTCCTAATACATGAATTCACCTTATATGGTTTTGTCAAATTTGAACCCAACGTTAGAATTTTACATTAGTTGCTCACCATAAATTGACTCTGATGCTTTCAGTCTACCATGGTCTCTGCTTGAAAGCCATAAATAAATTCTTAGTGGCCTCGCAACCTTTAGTAGTTATAAATTCTAACGTTGGGTACAGTGTACTATATATGGTATATTACTAACTACAATATGCATATACTAATATGTGTGTATAGAAATAGATAAAAATGCAAATAAATCTAGTGACTAAACTGGTTAACCTTTTCTTGTATCAAATTGTATAAATATTCATTATTTATATGCAAATGTATATGTACAAGTAGTTATGTCTGTTTGAGTATTTATGCACATGTTTGCATACATTAAACATTCTTGTCAGCTTGGTAATGTGATTTTCACATATTTATACCCTGAACATTAAGTTTGCCACGAAGTTTATAAAACCCCAAAAGATACATTGCAGTCCCTAGAAAATACACATATGTATGTATATATAAATAATCAGCGTTACGAGCTGAGTCTATTTAGCCATGTTCGTCTGTATGTTTGGATATCTGTAATTAAGCAAACTAGTACTTCCGTTTTTGAGATATTGATTTGAAATTTTACACAAGTGCTTTTCACCGCTAGAAGCTGCTCATATGTTGGAATCGCTTACATTGGACAACTATAAGATATAGCTCCAACAAACAAATCGATCAAAATTAAGTGCTTGTATGAATAACTTCTCTATTTATGAGTTATTCACAAAAATTGTAAGGATTATTGTCCAACGACGATACAATCTGCGAAGAAATTGTTCAGATCGAATAACTATAACATATAGCTGCCATGCAAACTGACCGCTCCAAATCAAAATTAAGATCTTTTCATACTATTTTATGCCATAAAACATGCACGTGTGTAGGGTATTAAAGCTTCGGTGCTACCGAAGTTGACCTTTTTTCAATTTTTTAATTCTTACTATTTTAGTTGTTTTATTTTATATATATTTTTTTAGTATTTTAAATATTATTTTACTATTGCTTACAAGACAAAGACATAAAGATAACAAGACATGGCTTTAATTTCATTTCATTGAATAAGACCAAGAAGAATAGATAACAACTCAACGCAAATGAACAAGTGTTGTTGCGCGTGTGTTTGTTATGTTTGTGTTGTGCGTGCATACGAACACCAATACAAGAGCAACATCAATAGCATTAAAATAATAATCTTGCTATCTGCCGCTATTATTGTTCTGTTATTTTCGTTGTTGTTGTTATGTTTGTTAATGTTTTTGCTGCACGCTCAGCTATTTGCCAGCGAAACTTGAAATCGAAAACAAAACCACTTTTGATTTTATGAACTGAAGATGACCATCCAGCCACAGCAGTGCGCTGCCGAGACGCTGCCAAGCTGAGCTTCTTGCCCGTTGCGCTACACGCTGCAGCCGCCTTCCAAGCGCCTTCATGAAATATGCCGTTTTTCTTGTTATGACCGCTTTTCTTGATTATTCACAGTTGTTGCTGTTATTGTAGTTGTTTGTAATATTTACTTGTTCTGCATGTGGCGACGC